GTCTCTATCTGTTGGTAGTGGTTGTTGATTCTGGATTCTAATTGATAGTTTGATTCAAGAATGTGATGGAATGTCCACAGTCAAGATGGTGTACAATGTTCATTTTGGCTGATGGTTGGATTTTGGGATGACAGTTAGCTGTGTGTGGGCATTATCTGCTCTTGCAAATATTGCACACTGTTGAAGAAAATCAAGAATAATGTCTTCTGATGTGAGATTGTTGACTCCAATGAATATATTAACTGAAAGAGTGTTGACAACTTAAATGATTATCATGATGCAAATGATGATTTTATCATCATTTGAGTTGAAATCAGAAAAGTGTAGTGAAAAGCATGCTGAGACATGGAATATTAAGCTCTCATCAATTCCACTAATGGGCAAAGGTGTCACATCTTGAATAATTATCATCAGATCCTGGTTCTGGAGGAATTTATGATTAACTAACATAGAGTTGCAGTCTGAGTTAAGACAACAGATTGCTAGATTGGTGGTGTTCTTGATGTAATCTTGCACTGTGACATGTTTTCAGTGACAGAAGTTCTGTTGTGTGTCTGAGACAAGCTCAATGCATTGTGAGACAACAATATTCTGTTCAGGACTAGTGAGATAAGCTGATGGCTTACATGTATGGAGATGTTGGAAAAGCTGGTTTTGTGAAGAGAAGACTTCTTCACAATGATAGCAGATAGTGTGAGAATCAGCATTCATTTCTTTCATGTCAGATTCTGAAGATGTGTTGTCTTCAGAGACAATTGAGTTTTCTTCTGATTCATATGAATAATCTTCATCAACATTTGTTGGATCTGAATCTGTTATATATGCTTGTTGTGATCCTACTGTATTATGGAATGGAGATGGTGGACTTCATTCAGTTGACTTGAGCTGAAATTTTTGGGACTAGTTGTTTGACTGCATTCTTCATGATTGATTATTCTGTGAATGACTGAACTGTTCATAGAATCAATTTGCAGTATACTGATGTCTTGTATTTGGTGTCTGGAATGTGATGGCTCTGTATGAAGAGTGATATGTGAGTGTTATGTTATATTGATCAAATCAATTGACTTCTTTGCAAGTCAGCAGTTCACAAAAGATGTTCATTGTTGTGCCTTCTAGTGATTCATCTATTGTGACTCATAGAGAAGTTTCAAGATGATGCCATGCATGCAGTACAACTGCAAATTCTGAAGTGACTAGTTCACATTGATGAGCTGCTGTCATGATATCAGTGAGATAGAATGCTGTTGACTTGCTGTTGTGAACATCTGCAACTGTATAGTGAATGCTATTGAATTTAGATTGTGCTTGTGCTGGTGATATTCAGAAACAATTTTCAAGAACAAAGCATCAATTCTGAATGTCAACTGAATTATAGATAAGAGCTTTGCATGCTAGATCATTTAATTCAACTGTTCATCAGATCATGACATTTTCACAGAGACATGAGTGCAGTTCAGCATCTATCTGCAGTGAATTTTTAATGACAGCTGCAGTCTTAATTCTGACTGTAAAAAGATATACATCTTTAATTCAGATCTTTTCTTCTTGATCTGCAATGTCTTGGCCCCAATGACATGGCATATCTGGGTAGAAATAGCCAATATCAGTGATTTTCCAGCTTTGCTGGGGTGTGTGATTGCTTGTAGTAGAATGTTGGGCTGGTAAAACTGCTGTTGAAAGAGAAGTAGTTGATTCTCTGTGTAAGACTGCTAATTCTGAATGTATAATTGTACACATATTTGCTGTAACTGCATCTATGATCTATTGCATATCCATGTCATTTGTACAAGATGCACATTTTCCCAGAGCTTTAATTGATGATTCTGAAGAATTGTCAGCATTTGGATCTTTGAAGAACATGATTGTAATAGATTGTTGAATGGTTATGAATTGTTGATTTGCTGTAGTTGTCTGGTCTGAGAATGAATCTTCATATGTCATTGAGATGGGTAGTTTCTGCTGCATTTGATTGAAAGTTGTTGATGAAATGTTGTTTGAATTACCACTTTCAGATGAAAGATTCATGATCAAATTACTTGAGAGATTGCTTGAGAATCTGTCTGACATGACTTGCTTGCTTGATAGTGATGCTCTATAGAAAGTTAGTTTTGTAACTATCATTGTGTTCTGAATGAATTTGTGAATTGCTGTTCTGATTATAGATGGATTCAGATTTCAGTCTGTGAGATAAAATATGTCAGAGAGCTCTGATTCTAATTAAGTCAGCTGTGAACTGTTCAGTGGAAGCACTTTCAGATTCTCTTTTGGTATACAAGGTTGATAAATGTTAGAGATTCAACTTTGTGGTAATGGTATTTCATTATTCTTGGTGATGAATTCTGCTAAATGCTGGGTGCTGAGTGAAATTACTCAAGAGCTAGAGTTACTTTGGCTATAGTTAAGTATGTATTTAGCTATTTGCAATACAGACTTCAGGAGAGACTCAATAATCAATTTGATTTCATTTGCTGATTCCATTATTTCAGGGAATTTAGTTATTTAGTCATTAAATATGTTTAGAGTTTGTGCATAATTTAGCAAGGAATTTTAAAATTTTGGGCTGCCCTCAGAGTCCCCAATCAAGCAAGACATGCTATCAGTTTGTTACCTGATCTATAAGAGCTACAGAATGTCTGTGTGATTTTGGTTGAGTAGTAGAAGATGTCTTGTTCTTGTTCCCTCAAGCTTCAATGATAAGTTCAAGAATGACTAATTACTAACTAATCTACTTCAGTAAGTATGTACAGAAGGTTCCATGTCACTGAGACTTGATGATTCAAACTGAGATGGGACTGAAACTTGATTTCAAGTACTGAGATGAAAATGAAACTTAATTTAAAGAGCTTGAGATTATGTAATTAGAGATAGAAATTCTCAATTTCCCTAAACTTAAAATAAAATCTTATTTTATACTATTTTTAGTATCAAAATCATATACAAATGTATATATGCATTTTGACTTGATGTGCCAATTTTTTTATTTTGTCATATTTTGGTGTAAAAATACACTTTCAAAATAAAGTTTGAAAAAAAATTAAACTTGTTTTAGGAATAGAAAAATCTAGAGATGGAACTTAAAATATAAAATTTGAAACTGAAAAGAGAATGGAACTTTTATTCATATTTTGAAATGAAATTGAGACTAACTTTCAAATTTTGAGAAGAAATTGAGATTGACTCAATTGAAAGTGACATTCAGTCTTGTTTCATTGAAATTTCAAAGAGATTCTGATGGTTAGTTTAACTGAACCACTGCAAAATTTATTACTATATAAATAGATTTGCAAATACAGTCTGATCACATAAAATGTTTAAGTACTGTTAATAACTACTTTCAGTTCTTTTAATTATCAATAAATGATCTTATGATAGTTTTGCTTTGAGTTTTTGTCTTTATATAGAAAATCTGTGCTAGAGCATCAATATAAGAGATTTTTGACTTATTTTTATAGTCTCAGTTATTAATAGACTGAACATTGAAATTTCCTTGAGATCTCAAAGAGACAAGACTGAATGTCAATCTCAATTGAGTTGATCTCAATCTCTTTTCAAAATTTGAAAATTAGTTTCAATCTCATTTCAAAATATGAATAAAAGTTCCATTCTCTTCTCAGTTTCAAATTTTTCATGTTATGTCCCATCTCTAGATTTCTTCATTCCTAAAACAACTTCAATTTTTTTTCAAACTTTATTTTGAAAGTGTATTTTTACACCAAAATATGACAAAATAGAAAAATTGGCACATCAAGTCAAAATGCATATATACATTTGTATATGATTTTGATACTAAAAATAGTATAAAATAAGATTTTATTTTAAGTTTAGGGAAATTGAGAATCTCTATCTCTAATTAAATAATTTCAATCTCTTTAAATTAAGTTTTATTTCCATTTTAGTACTTGAAACTCAAGTTCCAGTTTCATCTCAGTTTGAACTATCAAGTTTCAGTTCCATCTCAATTTTCCATTTGTGCATTAGAGATGAGATTTCAGTTGAGAATTCTCTGTTTCTGCAGTCAGTCTAGTTATTAATCTTCTGAAAATATTAATTTCAGAAAAACTTTCATTTAAAAGACTTTATAAGTTTCAAAAAAGAGAGTCTTTTCTGTTAAATTCTGCTTTCTGATCATATATTTAACAATAGCAATGATACTGACTTAGAAGATTAAATGATGATGATGATAATAACAAAAGTAAAAGATTGACAGATAGATTCTTAATAAAATCTCAGTCACATTTTTTTACAGTAGAAATAGTTTTTAAAGACTTAAACTGCATATTCTTCTGATCAATATCTGTACTTTCATCTTCAACTGCTACAGAAGTCAAAGCTGAATTCTGAAGTCTCAATTTAAGTTTAGAAAATGAAGTTTCTGTAGTTTTAATATATAAAGAGACTATTCTCTTGATAGTTTTCAGTGCATAGTGATGAAACTTATGAAAAGTCATGATTTAATATGTAAGAAATTAACTATATGAGAAATAGATTGCAGTTGATTGTATAAAGTATAAACTGACTTTGAGCAAAATTTGAATTTCTACATATCTATGTTTTGTGTGAATTTCCAGTGCACACTAAAAAATATGAATTTGGCCCATTTCACAATGCTGTTGCAACCAACTGTACAAGAAGTCTTGTTTGTTAAAAACAGCTCAGACACAATATTATAGATTCTTAGTCATATAATAATCATGTGTTCTTATATCATCTGATAATGCTAAAAAAAATCTTGGTTTTCATTTTTTAAAATATGAATTATATCTGTGTCTCACATGCTGCTGTATATATGTGAGAAAGCAACTATTACTTATTGAAACAGTTTTTCTATCAAAATATAAGGGAAATGGATTGCAGTTGATTGTACAAGGTGAATATGAGCAGAACTGAGTTTCTACATATAATGTTTTGTGTTGAGTTTGGGCATGCTAAAAAACACCAATTTGGCACATTTCACAATACTTTTACAACCAACCTCTACATTGTGTATTTTTTCCAGCATGAAATTTGCCCACAGATATTCTCACACTCTTGAGAGTGAGGGATTTCCTATACTTTGGGTCCACTCTGCCATCTCCTACAGACGCCTAAAAAAATGCATCAAGCGTGTTAGCAGTGAGCTTGCAGGACTGGGTTTGCAACCAGAAGTTCTTAATGATTTATGGCTATCGCAGGACCAGATAGATTCATGCAATCCTGACAGGTATTTTGGTTTCCACTATGAATTTTCAAGTACGTATCGGTACAGTCCTTGCGATATCTCTCTCCTGACGAGGTCATATTTAGCGGCAGCCCCTTCTTCCGCTCTTACCCCAAAGCTGACATTCATCAGTCACTCGCGCATCAAGCCTGACTCTCTTTCATCTCTTTACCCTAAAATGCGTGAGAATATTGGGTTTCTTCTTTGTGCCGTAAATGAAAGCAAGGAGTCACATACAAGTGATGAGTGTACCAGGACTATTTCAGAATCGAAGGAGCCAAAACAATGCAATTTTGCCATCCATCCGGCCACAACTCCCATCCAAGCTGTTGATATACCCTTATCCTCCGACTCCGAGTTCTTTCGTATCCTTAGAGTCGAGCTATCCACGCTTCGTCAATTACAAGATCAAGAGAGAGAAAAACTGACCGGTAGAGTGAAACTTCTCCGCGAAACTATAGTCGGTACCACAAACTCTACGCTCGTTCGCTCGCGAAGTGCATTGGACACCTGGCGTGAAATATTTCGCTTGTACATGGAAGCCCAAGTTTTTTTTTCTACCAATGAGCTCGATTCAGGCGAGAGAACGTCCATTGTGGCCCACCAACAGCTAGTCAAATTTCAAACCTCCCTATCAAAAATTAGCCCCCATAGAAAACTTAGGAAGAACGGCCGACGGGCACTTGAGTCCTTTATGGATATTAATTTTGTTCTATTGCAAAACTTGAAATTTCAAGAGATTAATCGTATAGCGCTTCGAAAAATTCTCAAGAAGTTCGACAAGCGAACCGCCCTTCGGGCGTATCCAGCTTTTCCCCTTTTAGAGCCTCTGTTATCTCAGAGTATGGCAAACATTCTTTGTCAGACGCTTTCTCAGGAGATCCTAAGTGTGATACCCCAAATTCATGACTATCTTTGTCCAATATGCTTCAATGTAGCATTCAAGCCAGTTCGTTTACGATGTGGTCATGTTTTTTGCATAAGATGCCTGGTTATCATGCAGCGAGCACAGCAGGACCATTGTGCGTTGTGTCGCAGAGAGGTTGTTATGGAAGCTACAAGTGGTGAGTGCATTTTTCTCACTACCATGCAGCAACTGATAGTTGATTCAAATACCTCAGATAATTTGGACCAGGACCTTCTTGGTTTCTTAAGCACAAACTTTCCAAAGGAAACAAAGGCAAAGCAAAGGGATAATGAAATAGCAGCTAGCATTGATATATATGGAGAATCTTATTATAAAGCTTGCTCCATAATGTGACATTCCACTTTTTATGACATATTAATAACATACTTACTACCTTTGGAGCCCAATATTTAGGCTAACAATGATAGCAATTCTCTTAAAAATTAGTGGTGATGCAGATATTTTACTTTATCAGGTTCCCTATTTGATGTACTCTCAAACTCTCAGAACTACCAACTCAGTCATCCCTTGAAATTTTTCAATCTTCTTCTTGATGTTAGAGGAAGAATACTACTGGTATTTGTCTTGTTGGATGCTCATCGCTAGCATTATACTCCATCCATCAGACTATACACAAAACAAAGAGTCAGTAATACGCACACTGACATAAAATGAAGGGCTTCTAATACAGATTGGGGTTCCAATACCTAGATGGTTGGGTAGCAAAAAATTCGCAATTCCCTCTTTGATACTATATTCATGTCCACAATTGCCACAAACAAGTTTACCCTTGATAATACAGGTTTCTATTAACAGACGGTGGAGCTCTCGGAGCATCCATTCATTTTGGTGGGAAGCATCAGGCATCATTTCCGGCAAAAATTCGAATCCAAGCTAAAAATTTGGCTCAGTTCAAACACTTATTCAACGCGTCAGATGGGCAAAAAACCTCAGTTGCCGATATTCGTAAGGCATCCCAATCCAAGCGCGGTAAAATGTTGGATAAGAACTGTGGAGAGAACTCAACTTCCTGTTGTTCCAACTCAACCTGATGGAAATGAAGGGGGAAGGAAGCAGGAGAAGTTTTGCAGCTTCTCACAGCGCATGTAACAAAATTCACCGTTAGCACTTTCATAATTGCAAAGTTTTTCTTTTGTTGAAGTCATACTCCGTAGTGTAAGACAAGATAAAAGTAACTAGTTAGTTAACTAATTAGTTAGTTAGTTAACTACATATGGAGTAGACAGTAAAAGGTAACTGTTACATAACTCATTGGTCAGTAACTAGTTACATAATACTATTTATTACAGACTCAACTCGTTTTAAAAACAACAACTGAGTGAAAAAGAGGTCCGCATTTTACAATTTCCCACTATGGCACCTCGTTTCCAATTTCGCCGTATAGTGGCTCCTGGCCTGAATCAATTCTTTTCATGTGGTATCTCTCGGAAGCAACCCATTGCCATCAAATTTCTGTCATCACTTTTGACTAGACAGCGTGGCTCTGGAAGCAGACAAGCAGGACAATGGACCCCAGCAGTCAAAGGGTGCGATATAAGCAACTCTATGCTAAATATGATCAAACCAGCTTACTCACAGATAATTTACAGTCAAAATAACGTGTGGCCAATTAGGCCTCAAATAACTAGATACCAGCTACGCTTCTATGGTTGTTTACACGTGTGCCTATTTCTGAATACACTATTCTAATAGGTAGTAGCGGACACCATTATCAAAGTCCCACAAATGGCGGAGTCGATTTCGGAGGGCACCTTAAAACAGTTTTCAAAGCGTATGTTGACCTACCCCCCTCTAGCGCATGGCCTTTTGATATTCCTGTGGCCCATGTCCTCGTTATCTTCTTCCCACTTCTACAGTCTTATTAAATAAGTTAATAGAGGTTGGTGACTTCGTTGAACGAGACGAGGAACTCGCAACAATAGAGACTGACAAGGCAAGCCGCCTGACATTCAAACAACGCGTCTATGACACTAATTTATGGCCAGATTGACGTTACTGTAAACGCACCCGCATCCGGTATAGTCAAACAATTTTTAGCAAATGAAGAGGACACGGTCACAGTTGGACAGGACTTGGTTAAGTTGGAGCAGTGTACAGAAAAGCCTGCCCATCAAGAGAATAGAACAACAACAAGGTCAGATACTGTTACGGAGAAACTCCAGCAAACACAAAAGGTCCAAAAGCATGCAGCACAACATGAAGAAGCAACAACCACAAAAAGTACAAAATCAAACCCCCCAACAGAACATTTCCCTGTGGAGGTCAAAGAGGCCATAAGTGCTACTCATGCAAATATTGGAAATCGTGAAGAACGCAGGGTATGTGAAGCATATTTGTGCAATGAAATATGAGTTTTAACAAGCACCCAGGTGAAGATGAATCGCATGAGACTCCGTATTGCAGAACGCCTAAAGCAATCCCAGAATACAGCAGCATCATTAACCACCTTTAATGAAGTAGACATGTCATCACTCATGGAGTTGCGCAAATTATACAAAGAAGAAGTTCTAAAAAAGACAGGTGCCAAGCTAGGGTTTATGAGCGCATTTGCTCGGGCATGTGTTTTAGCTATGAAAGAAGTTCCTGCGGTAAATGCATCGATTGAAGGGCAAAATGGCGGCGACACAATTGTCTATAGAGACTATGTTGATATCAGCGTTGCGGTTGCAACTCAGAAAGGCCTTGTGACTCCTGTTGTTCGAAACGTTGAAGGCATGGATCTTATCACGATCGAAAAAGCCATTGCAGATCTGGGCCAAAAGGTACATTAGATCACCATTCTAATGAATAAATGACTCACTGCTTCTTTAGGCTCGTGATAATAAATTAACTATCGAAGATATGGCTGGTGGTACATTCACCATCAGCAATGTAAGTATTCAGCCATGGACTTTGTTGATGATGCTAATTGGCGCAATAGGGGGGTGTTTTTGGATCCTTGATGGGAACTCCGATTATCAACCTTCCACAAACTGGTGAGGACACGATAAAACAATGCGTACGTTCTAGTAGTTAACAATTGCAATTTAGGGGTGTTGGGACTACATGCAATTAAAAACCGACCAGTTGCTGTAGATGGAAGGATTGAAATCCGCCCGGTATATCGCCTTTGTTGATTAATATTTTTGATCTTTACTAACCGACCACTAGATGATGTTCCTAGCCTTAACGTATGATCACCGACTGCTTGATGGCCGGGAAGCAGTTACATTTCTAGTAAAGGTATGTCACGAGTTTTGTATTTACAATATTGAAAACTAATATTTGGTGTTAAGGTTAAGGATTACATTGAAGACCCAAGACGAATGCTCTTAATGTAGAAGACATTATATGTATACTTGTTCTGCATCTGTTTGGAAATTTGTCAACCACAGCATGGGCTGATTAAAAATTAGCACACTTTATTCAATTGAATTAAATGCTCGGCCACTCATTTGTAATTTCATTTGTCATCAAGAAAAATCAAAAATTTGTAATCTGAATTTCTATAGAGAAAAGACATAAGCTATGATCTTGAGATAACTTTGTATTTGAGTATTACTATTCCCATTCAATGTATATCCTCAATAATCATGAATAAATTCTGTGTCTATACAGATAGCCACTGACTGCAAAAGACTATAATGAAGTTTAAATATATATATTTTTCATGATATTCAATAAAGTGAAAGACAGCTGAATTCTACATCACTTTATAGAATCCTATTTACTAAATTTTGTAAAAGCTAAGATGTAGCAGAAAATGTGCAGTATATAAGAGTATTAATAAACTTAAACTTTAGAAGAGCTTCTTTCTGTACATCTGTAAGATTTCAACTTCATGTCTAGAGATCTGTATGTCTTTAAAGCAATACATCAATATAGTTACATTGATTTCATACTTTTTGACAGTTTTAACTTTTGGCATAATTAAAAGTCTTCTGTCAGAACTCAGCACAGATCTTTAATTACTAACTTAATAGTAGCTTCATTGATCATTTTATCAAATTTTGAAAGTAGAGGTCTATAGTAGAAAATTGGTTGCTTTGTGGGTTTTGTCATTCAGTAACAAATTACATGGATTCTACTCTCAGTCACATGACCATCACCTGTTCCCATACCAGAATTCCAGATCTGTGGAATACCATAATGTTACAGTAGTGGCAATGTAGCCATGGATAATCACTATGTAGTAACTCAGCACAACATTGAAACAACAATTGCATAATATTATCTTTGTTGATTGCCATAACTTGAGTCAGTATTCACAACATTGTCTTGTGTAGAGTTAATTGAAGTTAACTTTGTTAAGTGTATTTAACTTTAGTAATGTTTTGTATTGAAGTACAGCTAGCTATTTCTACCACAAGTACAATTACATCCACATACAAAGAATGTTTCAGAAAATTTCTAAGTCCACAAAAACTATGAAAACAGTAAAATCTAGTAGAATAGTAGAATTTGTGTAGTCTCTCAGTTAGTAGAAATCACCTGCTAGTCTAGCTAGTAGAATAGTAGAAATTGCCTACTAGCCTAGCTAGTAGAATTTTAGAGAATCGCCTACTAGCTAGACTAGTAGAATAGTAGAAATCACATAGATTTCTACTGTAGAAGAGAGTTAGTGAGTGACTTAGAGATTTGAAAAAGATGAATGAAAATTTTTCATGGTTTCATCTGCAAATCATTTCTTTATTAGATTTAAAAATGTTGTTATTACTATATAGTAGATTCAATGTAGATAGTATGCTCTTACTACATAGTAGTTAAAATACAAAGTTGTTACTGTCACCAATGTTGAAACTATGATGTAGTGGTAATGATTAATGTAATTTATCACCAAGTGATCTAATTCACAAAGTGATCAATTTTTCTACTGTAGATCTCTACTTTTAAAATTCAATAAAATGATTAATGAAGCTGCTATTAAATTAATGATTGAAGATCTATGCTTGCAGAAAACTTCTAGTTATGCCAAAACTACCAAAAAGTACAAAATCAATGTAACTATATTAATGTGTCACTTTAAAGACATATAAGTTTCTAGATGTGAAGCTGTCTCTCTATATTTAAGAAATCTTACAGATGTGCAGAAAGAAGCTCTTCTAGAGCATATTAATATTTTTATAAATTGTGAATTTTCTGCTACATCTCAGCTTTTATAAAATCTAGTAAATGAGATTCTATAAAGTGATGTAGAATTCAACTGAATGTCTTGCTTTAATGAATATCATGAAAATTGACTTATTAGTATTTTTCTATGAAATATTAATCAAAAAAAAAAAAAGCTGCTCATAATTCTATATACTATTCTTCATTTTTTGATCTAGTAATATCTGTTAATTTTATTGATTTAATGTTGATTTTCACTGAGTTAAGACTAACTATACAAATTTCTATAGCTTTGAGAAAAAATCAAGAAATATAATCTTAAATCTACAAATATTTACAATTTCAATGAAAAAGACTTTATTATAGAACTAGTAAATACATTTAAAAGAGTGATCTCTTTATAAGTTTATGAGTGTAATAAAATATTAAGTACTGTATAGAATGATAACTGAAAGTTCATCTTTCTATTTACACATATCTGTGCTGATAAATTCTTCACTACACTGACTCTCATTTACAAGAGAGATTCTAGAGACATGCAAAATACTTAACTTATTAATTTTAATCATAAAAAAATTAAACTTACTTTACTGTATCAGAAAATGAATGAATTAATAATAAATATAAAATTCATGAATTGAAATTATTTAATAAAGAGACTAAAGTCAAAGTTAATTCTGCAGACAGTAAACAGAGTAAATATTTACTTATACTGAATGAGTATGTCTCTCATATTAATATGCAGTTCATTAATTTTGCTGATAAAAATAAAATTCTACTACTTATTCTTTCACTCAGCTCTACACACTGTTTACAGTCTCTAGATATTAAATTTTTTGAATCAGTACAGCACTATTATTGAAAGAAACTAAACAACTTTCTTCAGCAAGACATGAGCTTTATTAAAATGATAAAATTAAATTTCTACATTTTGTTTAAATCTACATATGCAGCAGCTTTTACATCAGAAAATATATTATATATGTTTATAAATGTCAGCATCTTACTATTAGACTCTAATAGAATGTTTAAATCTATACAGTCTAGAACTTCAGACACTTAGAGAGCTGCATCAGAGTCTACTACATCTACTATATACTGAAGAGTAGATGAACTACTAAACTATTTAAAAAGAGTTAATGTCATCTCTAGACATAAATAAGTCTATTGTGCTCTAGAGAAAATAGCACTAAAAAAATGATTATAAAGACTGAAAGAGATGATCTAGCTATAGCTTTAAAAATTGAAAAAAAATACTATCAGTGTGACAAAGTATTAAGTTTCTTTGATTCTAAATAAGCTGATAAAGCTCAATTCTTTTCTTCTTCAAAGATTGTGAAAATGAGAGTCAAAATCATAGAAAAAAAGTAGAAGAAGAAGAATAAAAGAATACAAAAGAAATAAAAGAAGCTTTAACTAACTGCATTAAGAAAAAATTAAATTAATAAGTATATTGAGCAGTGTGTAATTTATGAAGAAGAACAGTTAGTAAAAAGACTTAAAAAAAAGATGAATAAAGCTGCAGCTGCAGCTTACAGACAGACTGAAAAGAATACTAAAAAAAATGTAAAGCTCTGAAACAGACAGTAAAGAAAGAATGAGCTCTACAGTATAAAAAAACTTAGAAAGAGAAGACTGTGCAGAAGATCTATTAAAAAAATCTAATGTCAGAAACTTTTATTTTGTCTACACACTCTACAGAGTCTGTAATATTTAAAAAGACTTTAGAAAAGCTTTCTACAGCTCTAATAAGCTTACAATTAAACTTTCAAACATTAAAGCAAGATTTTTCAATTGCTTTGAAGCTTAAGAAGTCAGAAATGTCAGTTACATGTAAAGATTGAGCTATTAGATCACTTTGTTGATTTTTGGATTAATCATACTAATTTTTATGTTTCATTCCTTTCCTACTTACTGTAACTAATAGCTTAATTAATTTTACTACATGGTTGTTGAAAAATTGTATTTTGAAGGTGTAGTGGTAATTTCATAAGAAGTGGTTGTTGGGTGAGATCGGGCGTTCAGTGAGAAATTATGTTACGTAACAGCACAGAAAATTGGTAGTGCAGAGATCCGCGATTCCGCTATGGTCCTCTGCCGTCTGATAGTATTCCAGTTTGTACAGACAACAACAATATGGAGTACAGTGTTACAATACATTTCTGAATCTCTCCATCTCTAGTAGTTATTTAACTTATTATTCAATGATATGTTTTCCTATTTTTCTGACATTTCCTTACTGTAATTATTCTATGTTAAAATTCGGCATTTTATGATGGCATCATTTTTTAACAAGCCTTCTTGGGCTACATCTGAGCTCCCAACTGGTCTTACTGATTTCTACCGTCGCTCATCGCACCTCTACTCAGATATTGTTGCAGAAGATGAAAGAGAAAACTCTTGTTCTGACTCCCCATCCAGCCAAATACAGAACGACTTACAGAATACAAACACCACCATGTCCAATGATGATGTTCCAGTCACCCATCATGCTCACATTGCTGGATCTTCCGCGAATACCCACATTACAACTGGCTGTCACATAACCAGAAATCCCATTTACAAGTCAAGTCTAGGAGATGCTAAAAGTGGAATCTTACCTGTGGCTTCAATGAAAGTTTTCTCCGGCCCAGCATCAACTAAGAATGAATGGAATGTGACAATGTCCACAAAAGACACTTCAATATCGCAAATTGTCCTTGATAATAGTTGTGATGAGTCGCAGTCTGATGAGGAATTTCCTGAACTTGTACGAAAGGCTCGTGAAAGGGCGCGTATGCTTCACCAAAACAATGACACCACAACCACACCTGATTGCCCAACAAGCTCTCAATGGCCTGGGGTAGGATTGAAATATACAAGGTCAACTTGCTTTCATACTGTGCCTTCTGGTGCTGTTGATGAATACTATTCCAATGATCCAGTTGTAAGAATTCTGATCACATCGCCACTCAATAAAACGCGGCCGCTGCTCATCCATCGGCGATTTTCACAGAGTCTTGGGGATGTACGGAAAGCATGGTGTGAAAAGCAAGTATTGGATCCTACTGTTGCTTCAACTGTGTTTCTTACCTGGCAAGGAAAACGATTGTTTGATGTTACCACATGCAAAAGTCTTGGTGTTTTGCCTTTGGCCCCCGGTTCTTCCGGCGAGGTTGGTGACTTGCGGGTGCATATGGAGGCAGTTACTCCAGAAGCTTTTGAAGGCCTAAGAAACAATGTGCTCAAGGAACAGCAGTTGGAAGATGAAGTAGACACTTCACTGAATATGTCAATACCAGACCATATAATCCGTGTTACCTTAAGGAGTACTTGCTGTGAAGAATTCAGGCTCAAAGTTGCTACTGCAAGTCAAGTATGCCTCATTATTCAATTGTTTCGTGATGCCATGAGCATTCCCAGTGACAAGGCTATCATGCTATATTTTGATGGTGAATGTCTTAATCCAGAAGACATGATAAAAAACACTGAAATTGCTGACCTGGACTGTATTGATGTCATGATCAAATAGTTTCATTTGCACTCCACAGACAATTTTTTTTTGAATCCCCAGTATTTTTTCTTTTATGTACACAATACAGAGCTGTTTGTAACTTCATCTTGTGACAGAATCAATCTGAATATAAACTCTATTCTTTTAGTTTTGTTTGTTCTAAAACACTGCAATAAAGAGGTGATTCAGACTTATATTTATTTTAAAATATTCAGCATCAATCTGCCACATTATTTTCTATCACAATGTGGAAAGTGAAAAGTCTAATGGCAAACAGCTAAACATGAAAGATAAACAGTTTATATAGATATATTATAAAAGAAGCAGAGCTCATTCATTTTGTTTACTACTTGATCTTACTATATAAAAGTTCATAATTGCACACTACTTACATTGCTGTAAGTCTGTGGCTAATTCAGAAGTTCTCTTCATAAAGTAGAACAAATTCTTTTGAATACTTGTAACAGTTTTACAAAATGTGCTTAATTCACAATTTTTAGCATGTCTTGAAAATATTATGTGATAATTTAGGCTGACCATTGGGGTCCCCTTGGGATCTCAATGGGACAAGACTGAATGTCAATCTCAATTGTTGATTTCAATTCCATTTCAAAATATGGATAAAAGTTCCATTCTCTTTTCAGTTTCAAATTTTATATTTTAAGTCCCATCTCTAGATTTCTCTATTTCTAAAACAACTTTAATTTTTTTTCAAATCTTATTTTAAAAGTGTATTTTTACACCAAAATATGACAAAATAGGAAAAATGGCACATCAAGTCAAAATGCATATATACATTTGTATATGATTTTGGTACTAAAAATAGTATAAAATAAGGTTTTATTATAAGTTTAGGGAAATTGGAAATCTCCATTTCTAATTAAATAATCCCAATCTCTTTAAATTAAGTTTCATTTTCATCTCAGTTTGAATCATTAAGTCTCAGTCTCATCTCAATTTTCCATTAGTGCATTAGAGATGAGATTTTAGTTGAGAAATCTCTGTCTCTGCAGTCAGTCTATGTGATATATAAATATGTAGAAACAGAGTTTTTCTAAAATTTATCTTTTATAATGAACTGTTGATCTATTTCTCTAATATTCAGTTAATAAAAACTATTTCAGTTGTAATAGTTAATCTCTTTTGTATTAAGTTATGATAAAACTATTCAGGAAAATTTCTATAGACTTTAGAGACTAAGAGTCTAAGACTAGAAAACAGTACAACTTAATTTGTTTCACTTGAATTCTAGAATTTTCAGATGTTCAGACATGTGATTATCAAACATCTTAACTGATAATTACTGATTTCAAACATGTACCAGTGTGCAATTGATATGATTTTAGCTAAACTGTTTTCAGATGTTGTGAAGTGGCTCAACAGATCTTAATCTTATGTAATCAGAATAAGTTACTAAATATTACTAGAAGTATCAGAAGATCTTGAAAGAACTCAGAATGTAGTAACTGTAACAAAACAGTCACTTATAAAGATGCTCAGTATGATATTGTAAGATAACAGATGATTATACTTTTCTACTATCTAATTACTACTAATAAAAGAGAACTTAATGAAAGATTTCACTAAGTTTACATAATTCAGCTTATGTCAAGAATACAATATGTGGAGTTTGTCTCACTTTACTTATGTAAAAGAACACATTGTGTACACTATTTCTAATATAGTCTAGCTTAATTTTGTGTGCACATCTTCTCTCTTCTTACACTAATAATATTTCTCACTTTGCTCACTCTTGCTCTCTTCTTCTACTTTACAACTGCAACATTATGAAGATAAGCAGATTCTTTCATATTAAACTGCATGCTTTTTCAAGCTTTTAAATGTGCTCAATTTAAGCTTGAAAGCAATTTTATTACAGTCTCTCACTATGCACATAAAATTGAGTTCTTTATGCAGAGATAAACAGAGATTTCAGCTTTAACTCAAGATTAAGTCTTGAATATTGCTTCTTATTTGACTCTTTATCTAGAAACTAGTAACTAATTAGTTGTTTTTAGTAATAGATTGACATATATTCTCTCTATTCTTCTGCTGATTTGCTACCAACATTCTGATCAATACAATTATTCAGTACTAGTTATTACTGAATAGCTAATTATGACAGTATTAGCAGAATAAGATTCTACTTCTGATCAGTAACAATTAGAAGAAACTGAAAATGTTCTCACAGTTCTCACTTCTACTTCTACTATTGTCTGTGAACATGCAGCTGCTTTTGCAGCATTAACTGATCTGAGTGATCTGATGACTCTAGCAGCAATTGCTGCACTTACAAAAGAATTCAAAAAAGCTGACAGTGTAATGCTATTTCAGTCAGAGAAGAGAAAGAAGCTTGCTGACTTTAAACTGATCACAGAGACAGAGATTTTCCAACTGAAATCCCATTTCTAATGCACTAATGGAAAATTGAGATGGAACTGAAACTTGATAGTTCAAACTGAAATGGGACTGAAACTTGAGTTTCAAGTACTGGGATGGAAATGGAACTTAAATTAAAGAAATTGAAATTATTTAATTAGGGATGGAGATTCTCAATTTCCCTAAACTTAAAATAAAATCTTATTTTATACTATTTTTGGTACCAAAGATCCAAAATCATATACAAATGTATATATGCATTTTGACTTGATGTGCCAATTTTTCCATTTTGTGATATTTTGGTGTAAAAATACACTTTCAAAATAAAGTTTGAAAAAAAACTAAAGTTGTTTTAGAGATAGAGAAATTTAGGAATGGAACATAACATAGAAAATTTGAAACTGAGAAGAGAATGAAACTTGTTTTCATATTTTGGAATAGAATTGGAACCAATTTTCAAATTTTGGGAAGGGATTGAGATCAACTCAATTGGAATTAACATTCAGTCTTGTTCCATTGGAATCTCAAAGGGATTCCAACAGTCAGTCTAGCTGACTTATAGACAATAGTTTCTTTGAGTTGCTACTGATACTGATAGATCAGATTCAGTACTAATCAGTAATATGTGATAGAATCAAAAAGCTCTGCAACTGTGAAGCACATAAAGCTTGACATTTTCAAGTCAAAAATACTATTGTAAGTAGGAATGCTCTCACTTTATACTGATTACTAACAGTTTTATTAAAAGATTATGGCATGTGCTCATGAATGTTTCTTTTGCACATATGAAACATTCATGACCACAACAATAATAGTGAGTTACTATCAGTACTTACCATGTGAGCAAGTCAATGTGCAGTAGAAGCTCATACAACAAAAGCTTAGTTAGTAGAATATACTCACTAATAACTATATAAATATATATAAATATATAAGTATATAGTTATATATAAGGTTTTGGTGAATGAGTAGGGTGAGAACAGTGATAATAGAGTTCAGAAAACAATAGTATAGAAGAAGTAGTTAATGAATTTTCAAAGAAGTTGTTGAATTGTTCTGTTAATTACATTTTGCAGTGGGGGTTTTGGTCTTATTTATAGACTGTGAGTTTAGAGTTTAAGTTATGTAAGTTATGGCATACTTGTCTTGATTTATAACTGTTACATCATGTGTGATGTAATGTATGATGCAGTATGATGCAGTATATTGTGCAATACTTGCAATAGTTTTGTAAAAAGTAGTTATACTTTTTAGAAAACTGAATTATTATATGAGGCATTTTATAAATTCTGGTTTCAGTGGCTTATACTTTCTATAAATCAGAATATCTATGATGTAGATTTATAGAAAGTTGGTATAACTGATTATAAAACTTGTTAAAGTTGAATATAATGTGCAATAGTTTAATCTTGAAAATAAACTATGCAACATTGAATTTTATGATGTTATTGATGATGTCACATATGATGACATTTCATATGATGTAATATCATATTATAATGTAATTTGTCATCTCAATTTATTATTTTTTTCTTCATTAATAATTTATATAAGCAATACTATGATAGTAATCTTATTGCTGTAACTCTATTAGAAAATAAAGTTTGAAATAAACTTTTATAGAATAAGCTTTGAATTAACCCCAGAAGAGTTATAGATCAAACTTTATATTTAATCAAGATTTATGTATATGACTCTGTAAATGTTATAGAAGTTATACATATTATACACATGTTATTTGAGACAATATATAGTATATAAATTTGATTATATTTGAGAATGTTATATCCTCACATATCAGTTACAATAGATCATTCAAAACAAGTCAGGGCATGACAATTCAGAGACATATTCAAAAGTTACATATTGTAAGTTAAAGAATGTTAAATAATCACAACTGATTCTAACTGATAATATGTAGAATCATAAGAAGAATACTTGTTTCTGTGATCTTTATGTTATGTCAGATATCTCTGAATGTTGTCAGTAGTAAGTGGTCACAATCAGTAATAACTTTAATGTTCTGACTTATCAATCAACTCAATATAGTGAGAATGAAGATCTGTAAGTGATGATCATACAATCTATTGATTTCATCTAATACTTACTAATAATAGTGAAAATATCTATTCTCATTCAGAAGAATCTGAAGACAAAGAGAAGAAGAAGAAGAATGAAGAAGAGAAGAAAAATGAACTTTCTGCTACTTCATGAAACTTCAGAATCTGTGTGTGAACATAAGTGTGAATGTAAAGATCATGCTCATGACAGTCATGATAATAACAGCTGTGATGATGATCAAGACACTGTGTAAATCTAACTGTATGTTACTGAATGTTACTGAATTTACTAATTACAACTGATAGATGTCATTCAGTCAGTTCAGCTGATGAGATTGATAGTGTTCAACAGTGAATTTCAATCTTTTCTTCTGCAACTTCAAAAAGTCATAAACAGTAAGTGACATTTAATTACTGATGATACTGCTTCTTATTGATAATAGCAGAGCAACAGATCACTGTCAGAGCTGCACAAAAAGATCTCTTTTAACTTATTCATCTATAAATGAAAATCATCAGTAGATCTTTATCTATTCTACTCTACTAGATCTTATCAGTTACTGACTAGCAATAAGAAAA